TGCTCTTTTAAGGATGCAGGTAAACAATGGATGATATGGTTTGGATCTGTGTCCCCACCAAATCTTATGTTGAATTGTAATCCCTAATGTTGGAGGGCCTGGTGGGAGGTGATTTGATCATGGAGGCAAATTTCTCCTAAATGGTTTGGCACCATTCCCTTGGTACTGTCCTCACGTTAGTGACTGAGTTCTCATGAGATCTGGTCATTTAAAAGTGTGTGGCCCCTCCCTGCCCCTAGCTCCTGCCCCCACCATGTGAGATGCCTCACTCCCCTTTTGCCTTCTGTCATGATTGGAAGCTTCCTGAGGCCTCCTCAGAAGCAGAAGCTACTATGCTTCTTTTACAGTCTGCAGAACCATGAGTTAATCAAGCATCTTTTCTTTATAAACTACCCAGTCTCAGGTATTTCTTTATAACAATGTGAGAATGGACTAATATAACAGGTAAGTTTCAATTTGTAACTGGAGTGATAGGGAGAATGTCCCAGATGGCCAGCATTTGGTGGAAGACACTGGAAAAGAAGTCTAACGTGTACATCCTAGAGTTCAAGAGGCCTTAGGAGAATACTATTTTGCCTGAGGCAGATTTGCTCTTAAATTTCCTACATGATGCCTGTTTTACCATATCCTGACCTCCATGATGCCTCCAGGCCACTTGCAGTAATAGTTCCAAAGTCATCTTCCTGTGTTAAACACTTACCCTGTTGACCCAATTCCTTGCTTACAGTTGACTGTAGAGTTTGCATCTCATCTACTATTTAAGCCCTCTTTTAATTCCACTTTACTTCAGCCTTCCCCTGGGGTCGTTTTCATTCTGTCTCCTTTCTTTAGTCCTGACTTCCATGGAAGTTACAGTAAAACAAGGCAGGAAAATAAGCAGACAATGATGCTGAAGGACATGCAGGCCACTCCTACCTAACTCTCAGCTGACCCAGCTCCCCTTCACCTCAACCAGGGAGGGAAGGCAGCCCAGAACCACAAGAACTCAGAGAACTATAGTTGAACTGAAGCTCTTTATCCTCCGAGTCAACCTTTCTTGCATCTATTGCACCCAGGGCTAATGAATGAACTTCAAAGAATGGCTCCTAACATCAAGGTCATCAGTGACCAGAGGTATACTTTTGCAACCTCCCCAGGAGCTTTGTTTTGGATGTCTTCCTACCATGAGTTTGGTTACCACAGCAACAGCCAGAGAAGCTCTGCTTAGAAGAGAGATTTCTTGTCTAATGAGCCTGGAAGACCTTAAGGTGAACATAGACAACTTCTGCTGTTTTAGGCCTAAAAGACCTAATTTTTTTCCTTCCCTGTTAGTTACTGGTATATATTTATAGCATTTGTATCACATTAACCATAAAATGAATCTGACTTATTATTTCCTTTTAAAAATCCAGATAGTCTGATCGTATAGAGATCACTGGGTTCCTGAGTCCTGAGGCCACACTGGAATATATTATCCAAAAACTCTCAGTTTTGTCTCCTAGTTTTGTTTGCATGAAGTCATTGCTCTTCTTAAGTCCTTCTCAGGACCTGCCAAATCAAAACTCCTGAGCTGTAAGGTGGGAGCTATCCAACAATCGGTTCTTCCCCTACAAGCCACCAGAATTTTCTCCTCCTCTAGCTCATTGGGTATGGCATTTGCACTATTTTGTCCTCTTCCTTTGGAGAATCACCCTTCCCCTGTTAAATAGTTATTGATCAACCCCTGTGGTAAGAATGGTATGACTCGGTTCCTAAGACTGACCAGGCTCAGGCTCTTTCCTGGGGCTTCTGTCAGTACTATATGAGAAGGTATTCTTTTGTTTCAGAGGCTGCTAAGTTGGTAAATCCTATATTACTTATAGGATGGTGGAGAAATTGTATATTAGTCTGCCAAGGCTGCCATAACAGAATACCATAGACTGGGTGGCTATATTAGTCTGTTTTCATGCTGCTAATAAAGACATACCTGAGAGTGGGCAATTTATAAGGGAAAGAGGTTTAATTGACTCACAGTTCAGCATGGCTGGGGAGGTCTCAGGAAACTTACAATCATGGTGGAAGTGGAAGCAAACACATCCTTCTCTATGTGATGGCCAGAAGGAGAAGTGCCAAGAAAAAGGGGGAAAAGGCCCCTTATGAAGCTATCAGATCTCATGAGCACTCACACACTATCATGAGAATAGCATGAGGGTAACTGCCCCCATGATTCAATTACCTCCCACTGGGTCCCTCCACGATATGTGGGGATTATGGGAACCACAATTCAAGATGAGATTTGGGTGAGGACACAACGAAACCATATCAGTGGCTTAAAAAAACAGACATTTACTTCTCACAGTTCTGGGGGCTGGATGTCTAAGATCAAGGTGTCAGCAGGCTTCTTTCCTCAGCTTACAGATGGGTCCACTTCTGGCTCTGCCCTCATGTGGCTTTTCCTCTGTGCTCGCACTCTTGGTGTCTCTTCTCCCTCTTAGAAGAACACCAGTCCTATTGGATTAGGGCCCCACACTTATGACTTCATTTAACCTTCATCACTTTCTTAAGGCCTTGTCTGCAAATACAGTCATATTGGGAGTTAGGGCTTCATATGAGTTTTGAGGGAACACAATTCAGACCATAATAAATTCTATGGGAGAACTGGAAAGAAAGGTGGAGACCCAGTCACATTGTTCACATTGTATCTCTGGATACAGTAAGTCAGCCCTACCCCTTGAAATATTTTATTTTCTTCAGTAATATTTCTTTTCTCTCCACTGCACTCACTTAAATATTTAAACACATTTACATAATGGCCATTGTTTAGTCAAAATAAGTGAAGAAATGGTGTTTGGAGGTATTAGAAACTACAAACAATACTTTATTATAAATTAAGAAGAAATATAATTTGTATAGTTCTTTGTTTATTGCACTTTATCCAAAGACATAGGCACTGTCCACATCTTAGTTATTGTGTACATATGAAGATTACCGTAAGCAGATGCTTTTGTCTTAGTACCTTCCTTAAGCACAATTTTTAAGATTCAATTGTTCTAATACTTTATACCCTATAATCAAGCAGAGATGAGAAGACCTCAGAATTCAACAAGAATCTGGGTGCTTACCTCTTCTGATACAAATATCAGAAGCTGATTCTCAAAGCTTCTACTTTTACATAGAAGTAAAAATATCCACTCCATTTCTAATCACAAATGGAAAGAACCAGAGGTGATACCCCAGCCAATCGTCTACAGTTAAAGCATTAATACTGTGTTCAGAGGATACAATTCATAATATTTATGCACTCAATTGCACAGAGAGGAAAGAGACACAAAAACTAGTGAAATCATACCTCCCCATGCATGGCTTGTAAGCCAATTCATCTGTGCTATAGGATACAATGGGGTGGCAGGGGCGGGGAGCGTATCTACAATAATGTTTACACCTTATCTAAAGAAATACAGTCATTGTATTTGTAACATAATGCCAACAAATTAATGTATTGTTTAGCCTTTATTGCATAGAAGGCCTTCCCTTTGGACATGCTACATACAGAACTCCAAACTCTAAGCTTTTTAATCACAGAAAGTGTGCTCTCATCCATCTTTGTGTCTCCTGCCCTTAATACTATGCCCAACCTGGAGTCAGGGATCAAAAGATATTTTTGGTATGAAAGGGCATAAAGACACACATATGACCTTGAATGACAGTGGCAATGTGTTACAATTTATTAAAGATGTCTGCTGAGTCCAGAGTACTGCAAATATTGAACTCAAATTCTCAAAAGGCATGTGATAGAATGGGGTTACTCTTGATAAACTGTAACTAAAGTTAGAACGATTATTTTAGAGACACCGTCAGGGTAGATGTCAGAAAATCTGAGATCCTGTCTTGCATATTCCACCAATAAAGTTTATAACATTGCACCCGTTGCTTAATCTCTGTGTCTTGAATCCTCATCAATAAAGCTCAGTTAAGTTCATTCAAACATTTGTGTGCATGCTAACAATTCACTGGCAATTAATTTGGAAACAAAAATCTGTAAGGCTTCTGCAATCTAGCTGAAATCTACCTTTCCCAATGGATTTTCTAAAATTCATCAGCACCTACCAGCCTGTCCCATGTCTTATATCCTGGCTTCTGCCACACTTCCTTCTGCTGAGATGTTCTCTCTGCTCTTCTCACCTCCCGAATTCCTGACCATTCTTTAAGACCCAGACCCACATACATCTCCTTAAAGCCTCCAGGCCCACACGCACTAGGGGATTATGTGTAGGTGTGCGAACTCCTTGAGGATGGAACACATTCAATTCTTTTCAACGCTGCCCCTAGCAGCCTTCCCACCATACATGGAGCAAAGCAAGTACTGTGGCTCTCACCTCCCCTTGTTCCCTCAGGACCTCGCAGCCTTCAGTTCACTCAACCCAAGATCTCAAGTTTTCAAAGAAATGAAGAGATCGAAGGCTTCTGTCTCGCAAGTTAGTCACTGATGAGGCAGAAGTGTTTGGCTCCTGCTTCCTCACATTTGTTTTTCACACACACAATAGTTTTGATATGTTTAGAGGGTATTTGCAATGGGACGTGGCTGGCCCAACTGTCAGCCAACCTTCATGTTTCTTTCATAGCCCCCAGGAAGTCAACTGAAGAGTTCAAAGAATTGAGAAGTTAAGCCAATTTATTTAAAATAATCTTTGACTTTCTCTTTGTCAATATATGTGTATTTTCTGCAAGGTTACGGAAACTGGAATATACATTAAAACAATTTTCAGTGGCATCTGCAGCAACTAATTCTAGAGAATTGTCTTATTCAATTGCGTTTCTTACTTATATGGAACTAAACCTTGATCTGCTTTTCAGGTATGAAATATATTCATGATTCTGTCTGAAAATATGAAATCAAAAGTTAGTATTATAACTCCCAGCTAACTGTCATATTAATTCATCTGGATGAATTTTGTGGTACCGAACTCTGACAATGCTCAGCGTGTCAAAGCAAACACCTGCCCCGTCCCATGCCTACCCCAAAAACAAACGAGAGGCCTTTATAGGTTGCAAGTCCTGGTCTGGTTTATTTATAAAGCAATAAATATTAGAAGCACAAACAAATTGCACGTGTGTAAACAAACTGTACAATGATTGATGAAAGATGAGGGAAGGTGGTTCGGAAGACTCCAAGAAGCATAATAGCATCATCCTGACTGGAAGGTAGATAGAGAGAGAAGGCACCTTAGAAGCATTTGCGGTGGACAATGGAAGGGCCTGCCTCATCGTACTCTTGCTTGCTAATCCACATCTGCTGGAAGGTGGACAGAGAGGCCAGGATGGAGCCCCCAATCCAGACAGAGTATTTACGCTCAGGGGGAGCAATAATCTGCAGAAAGAAAACAAAAACTTCCAGTGAACTCTGAAGTTCCAAGCAAGGGAGCAAATAACATGTTGGCAGGGTTCACAGAACAAAAACATTAGATACTAATTCGCTATAATGTGGGATATGTCATACCACAAAATAATGTGGCCAATCAAGTTATATGAACTCACCTCTATTTCATCATTTCTATTATTAAAGATATATTCTATTATTAAAATGGAATTTCTCCACTTATCTAGAGTATAATTTGGCAACAAGCTAAATATATAGTGGAGGCTAGCCCAAAAGTTGGGGCTTTAAAAATGTATTCAAAGATTTTGTTGCGTGTGTGTGTGTCTTTTTTGGTCAAAGATTTATTTTTATTCACTGCTTAAAAGCATTTTGGAAGTTACCTATCTTGGGAAAAGTGCTAAGAAAATCAGAAAAAGTGGTAGAAAAACTAATAGTTAAAGTTTGTAGGAGACAGGAAGCTGAGTATGAGGGGAAAAGGAATTAGGAACGTAATTCTGCTTAGAATACCAAGACTTGCCTTGGATCTCCCACTCACAAAAGTTCTTTACCTTAATCTTCATGGTGCTAGGAGCCAGGGCAGTGATTTCCTTCTGCATACGATCAGCAATACCAGGGTACATAGTGGTGCCTCCAGATAAGACATTGTTGGCATACAGGTCCTTGCGGATATCAATGTCACACTTCATGATGCTATTGTAAGTTGTTTCATGGATGCCAGCAGATTCCATACCTAGGAACAAGTCACACACACACACACACACACACACACATCACAGTGCATTCGGGTCAAGGTAGGGGGAAGAGAACAGGACTTCTTTGTGTGGGTGAGCTGTCACCATTTGTCTCTGAAACATATGTTGCCCTATAAGACACACTGCAGGGTGCAATGGATGCCTCACAGTTAATCCACAATACAATGCCAAGAAAGGAGCAACTGTGCTTAGCACCTGTTTCGTGTAAACACCTCCTGAAACTATCAGATGTATGAAGATGTATTGGAAAAGGAAAAGATACACGTTTAAACTAAAATGAATGTGATTTTATGGACTTAGATCCTGACAAAGTTCCTCGTGGAAAGCATTGCTTAGGAAGGATATTTGTTGACATACCAGTGTCCAGTTATTAATATGAGTAGGAATGTTATTGCATTTAATGATGAGTAACTTGGAAAATCCAGCTACTTGGTAATGAAACTTACTGGAATAAGTCAGCTCTTGTGAAATAACCCTTTTCCTGCAGATATGTGATATTCAGTTACTACTCTGTGTCATCCTTTATTTTGAGATGAACTCAGTGTGTCATCCTTTATATCACTAGAGCAGAACATAGACTTTCCCTTTAATGAGCCATCAGGACTTGAGGTTGAGCTGTGTGGGAGTCCAAACTTTGACTTCTTTTAACTCAAAAGCTTCTTGAGCCTTCTAGATTTCACTCTGGGAGACCCTAAGATTTCCAGGGAAAATTGTGCCTCTGCACCAGACCCTACAACTCACCAATGAAGGAGGGCTGGAAGAGCGTCTCAGGACAGCGGAAGCGCTCATTGCCGATAGTGATGACTTGGCCATCAGGCAGTTCATAGCTCTTCTCCAGGGAGGAGGAAGAGGCAGCTGTGGCCATCTCATTCTCAAAATCCAGGGCGACATAGCACAGCTTCTCCTTAATGTCACGGACAATTTCACGTTCAGCTGCAGAAATAAAGAGTATCACAGTCATGCTCTGCAGCAAGAAGTCAATTGTCGGGAGGCAGGTGGATTCAGTGAGGGAGGAAGAATCCTCAGACCCACACTGTGGCAGATGAGACACACACTCACCAGTGGTGACAAAGGAGTAGCCACGCTCAGTGAGGATCTTCATGAGGTAGTCAGTGAGGTCCCGACCAGCCAGATCCAGACGCATGATAGCATGGGGCAAAGCGTAGCCCTCGTAGATGGGGACATTGTGAGTTACACCATCCCCAGAGTCCAGAACAATGCCTGCCCAGGGAAGCAGACAAGAACAAGGTAAATTCCTGAGGACCACTGCTTTAGCCATGGCAAAGCCTGCTTCCAATCTTGGCTAAGAGATGCTAGCCATGGGCATTGATCCAGATGAAATTAGATTCCTTACACACAAAGAATAAAAATGAGCATCATGGATTCTAAATCTGAAGAAAACTGCAGCTCATCCTTTTAACTATTATAGTAGAAAAAATTCCCAGGGACACTTTCAAATGACCATCCTTCTTATCAGCCATGAGCACATTATGTAAGCACCCAAGTGTGTTTTTCTTTGCTCCTATTGAACTTACATGTTTCGCTCTCTTTTGACTCAGACCCCATAGGGAATGTATTCTCCTTGGGATGCTTGCCCAGGTGATATGATGGTTTAAACACATAACAATGACTGCTGCACTCCAAGTTGCTACATTGCGCTGAGCTTTAAATAAGGGAAGGACCTAACTCCACAAGCTATCAGCTCCCACAGTAAGTGTGCTCTGAATCTAACCTCAGGGCACTATTGTTGCCTCTCTCTCTCAGCACAGACCTTGCTAGGGAATGGGAGGAAAGGAATTATCCCTTTTTCAACTGGGGGATCTGATTCACAGCAAGGTCGGTGACTTGGGAATGTGATTAGTCAGTGACTGTCCCCAGACCCCTGCATACCTGTGGTGCGGCCAGAAGCATACAGGGATAGCACTGCCTGGATGGCCACGTACATGGCAGGGACATTGAAGGTCTCAAACATGATCTGAGTCATCTTCTCCCGGTTGGCCTTGGGGTTCAGCGGGGCCTCTGTGAGCAGGGTGGGGTGCTCCTCGGGAGCTACCCGGAGCTCGTTGTAGAAGGTGTGGTGCCAGATCTTCTCCATGTCGTCCCAGTTAGTGATGATACCGTGCTCGATGGGGTACTTCAGGGTCAGGATGCCTCGCTTGCTCTGGGCTTCATCACCTACATAGGAGTCCTTCTGACCCATACCCACCATAACTCCCTATGAGAAGGAAAAAAATGAGACATGCGCTCACCATGTCAGGAATATAATCAGTGTCTTGTCCATTTATATCTAACTGCCCAAGTCAAGGAACATATTTAAATACCAGAAATAATAAGCAATAGGATTTTACCCCAATTTAGAAGAATTATTTAAAAATCAGTCTTTTACCTTCTCCCCACTCCCCCAAAGATGTATAACTCTATTGTTGAGAATAGAACTCAGGAGAGAATGAAGCTGTTTCACTGAAGAAGCAGAGCCTCACCTCACCTTAAAAATATCATATGCCTTCATTAAATTATTAAGCTCATCACCCACGTCAACTGGGATATAGATGACTGCATTTTGGAATGACTGAATTAATGACACATTGTATTTCTTCTAAGAAAAAGATTTTGACATTCAAGTGAACACATAATGATGGGCTGCTATGCCATGCTCACTCCAACAGTGAAATTCAGCCTGTCCAGAGCTGTCCTGGAGTCATTCGCCAGCTCCGAGAACTAAGCTCTCCTCCTTGGCAGCCTGTCTGGCCAGGCATGTGACAAACCCAGAGAGCATGGCATTTCTTTTAATAAACGAGGTGGTATGTCGCTATCACCATGGCACTTGCTGCCTCTGCCATGCCTGGCTTCTAAAAATGCAGCAGCCAGGAAGGAGATGGATTACACCTTTGGGGAACCCTGTAAACTGGCTGCGAACATGAGAGAGGAATGCGGATTGGGTCCTGGTTGGTTGGGAGAGGTTATATTGTTAGAATTTTTAAACAGGACTGAAAAGAGAGGACAAGGAAGAAAATAGAGTGTATAAGGCAGAGGAGACACTAAGGACTCAAAGTCCAAAAGGCCGTAAGTGGAGAGAAACTGGTGGCTTTCACACCCAGGAGTGCGACCCTTTGAGAGGCCTGCCACTCAGGTGTACATTTCTCAGTATGTTGGGGTTTGGGGGGGTATTGCTTGCCTTGGCTTGGATTTGAAGTGAATCCGCCTTTTCTTAATTGGGCCTAAAGAGTTCATCGAACAAGAGGGTCAGGTGAGAGCCATTTCCTAGATCGCTGGACTGAAGGGGTCACCAGTGGGACTGGGGGCTCTGCGGGAAGTTTACCTGGTGCCGCGGGCGGCCCACGATGGACGGGAAGACAGCGCGGGGCGCGTCATCGCCCGCAAAGCCGGCCTTCACCAGCCCAGAGCCGTTGTCGCACACCAGGGCGGTGGTCTCCTCGTCGTCACACATCTTGGCACAGCTTCAGGGGGTTCTGCAGGTTGAGGAGGAGAGGCGGACCACGCTCAGCTGCCTGTGCAGCTGGCCTTCTCTGCACCCAGAGGAGGGGACAGAGCAGAAGGGAGGTTGTGGGGACTGGACAGGGGGTTGGGCGGGGAACACTCCTCCCTTCCCCTCGAGTCAAAAAAGGGAGGGAAGAAACCGCGGAAGAGACTGGGGACAGAGAAGGGCAGAGGAATCCACCCAGGCTCCCTGGCCAGGAGTTCCACCTAGGGTGCCAGGTGCAAGGAGGGACCCATGAAACCCAGCCCCTTAGTCCTCCCCAGCCCTTTAACTTTCTTCCTTTTCACCAGCTGGGAGCACGATCTCCAGCCCTGTCCGTATCGCCATGCCTGTGCCCCAGATGGAGGGGAAAGCACGCCCCTTGGGGCCACAAAATTCCCCTTCTTAGAGCCCCTGCGAGGTCCTGCGAGGACCGACGCCCAGGACAAAATAAGCTAGAACCAAATAAAAAAGTGTGGGCTTAAAAAAGAAAGGCAGTCGTAGAGCGGCAGGAGCCGGGGCCTTGGCTGAGGGCCAGCCGGGCGGGCCAGGTGGCGGCGCGGGGCTGGAGTCCGGCGCGGCCCGCGGACCTGGCGAGAAGTGAGCGCGCAAGGCTGGGCGCTGACTCACCGTCGGCGGGTCGGCTCGGCTCGGCTCGGCTCGGCTCCGGCGGCGGCGGGCTCTGGGTGGCTGGCTCCAGGAGGGCCGCTTTATAGAACGCTGATGGACAGGGTCAGTTGCAGCAGCCGGGGGCAGGAGTGGGGGGCCCGGTCTGCCACCTTGCCTTATTTGGTCCCCTTCGCACCCGCTAGGACTGCCGAGGCCATTCATGGAGCCAAGGGCAGGGGAGAGGATCAGCCAGGGGGCCCCCAGACCATGTAAGGAAGGGGAGGGGGCAGCCAGGGGGATGGCCAAATAGGGAGCTGGGGAGGGGCAGGCGATGAAGGGTAGGGGCAGGGGAAGACTGAGTGACGCCAGCCCACCCCTCCCCCTTTCTGGGGTGGGGGTGCTCCCTGGATGGGCTGTGGATTCGGTCCTCCGCAGGCCCGCCAGCCTTGGGGACAATAAGCCACATGCAGTGGGAAGGCTTGGCGCCCTGCCCTCTGCTGAGGGGTCCTGACAGCTGGGCCAGGGCAGCAGGGGAGCAACAGCGGCTTCTCATCTTCCAGGGCTGCCAGGAGCACAAAGGACACCACAGCAGCACATCTGAGTGACTGCAAAAGGGGCACCCGGGACAGGGCACCCTTCTGGTCTATTCCCCACTAGCCTGGATGGCTTTACTCTGAGAGCTAGGGCTGGGCTCGTCTAGGTCAGAAATCTGAGATTAACCAAGGCCACCCGAGTTCCGGCCCATGCGTGGATCAGGGTCTGGCCAGGGAAGAGGCAGAAAAGGGTTTCTGTGAGAGCTTGACCAAGTCTTCCTGGAGAAGGGACCAGGTTTACCCCAGCCCAATTATTGGGTCGCCCTCATCCATGCTGCCGGGGTCTTGCTCAAATTCAGACTCTGGTCTTCAGGTCAGAAAAGGATCCCCTGCTGCCAAAGTGAATAAAGGAACAAATGCCAAAAATAGCTTGCTCACCTGATGGTGGGGAGATGAGCATCTTTAAACTGGGGGCAGAGGCCTTCATTCCAGGTGGAGACAAGACTGAAAAGGCAAATACTTTGATGGAGAACATAGCAGCTTAAACTGAGAATATACCAATCCTTGCCACTCAAAGTGCAGCCTGTGGACAAGCAGTATTGTCATAACCCAGAAATGAGCTAGAAATGCAGTCTCAAGCGCCATCCCAATCTGCTTTTCAGCAAGATCCTCATTTGCTTGGTGTGTACATTGAAGTGTGAGAAGCATTGGCGTAAATGACAGATATCTCCTCTGTGGAAAACAGATATTGCAGAATCTTGAAGTTTTGAGAAGGAAAAAGAAAAATGGCATGAAATAAGGAGAGGGGGAAGGAAGAGGGAGATGTAAGAAGGACACAGATCACTAGTTTGCCCTGGGGTGCCCTGCATTCTCAGTTCTTGACTGGCGCTTTGATTTTTAATGCTTGTGTTTTTCCTCCAGTTCACACCAGTTAAAAATAGAAAACTGGGCACTGGCATCTCTCTCTAGAGTGGTCTTGGGTTGACATGCTGAGGAGGCCTGCTGATTAGATACTTGTCCCGACTGGGGAATGCTGGGCCCTCCCCTCTGAACTCCCCAACCATGTTTGGGTTGGTCTGGAGAAGAAACGCGAGGGCAGCTGTGTGGTGGGGCTGGGTAAGAGGCCTGGCTGAGATCACTCCGTGCAGCACAGCAGGCATTTTACAGTAAAAATATTTGTCGACAGGATGCCAAGAGTAGAACTGCCTCCTCTCATGAAAATATAGAAAAACCAAGGAAAAAGAGAAATGGGACTGGTGTCAGAGTCAGACCTGGGCTCAAATGCTGCCTCCATCACTTACTACTTACTATCTGTTTGGTCTTGAGCAAGACACTTAAACTTCCCAAGCCCCAAGTTTTCCCTCTCAAAAACCATACCCTAACATTTCCTGCAGAGGTGATTGTGTATTGTAATAATTAGAAACAAATGCTGTATGTGAGATGGAAGATACAAAGCAAATTGTATGCGTAATAATGATACTTTTGGAGGCAGTAGTAGCTCTGCCTTTTAAAGAATCAGGTTGATTTCATTCTTCATTGACTCAGCAAATCTTTGCAGGACAAGAACTGTACTAGTTAAGGATTCAGTGATAAATAAAACAGAACAGGACTCATCCTCCGTGGCAATTACAGCCAAGTCAGACAGCTATGGCACAAACTGGGAAGGAAAAAGAGGTATCAGCAGGATAGTCACAAAAAGGGAAGGGGAGTCTGAAAGAGTTTCCAAGAAAAACTTCCCGAGGAAGTCCCCGTTTTTAAAAGTAGAGCAGAACTGAAGTTTATGAACATTTGTGTGAGAAAAAGAGTTTCTACATGGGAACGGCTGATGAGAGAGTCCCACTTTCACTGCTATAGGTGCAAACACTCAGGAATGGAAAACCATGGTTATTGACCTCAGTCCTTCACACAGGCTTCTGGGGCCTAGGAGACCACTTCCAGCTCCCTCATTTCAGGCCCACTGGCTCTAGTGGGAGGCGGGTAGAACAGTGGAGGGCTCACAGCGGTTTTGTGGAACAATATTCACCCTTAAAATGTTTGAAAAATATATTTCCTATTCCACTCATTTTCACCGCTTAACACTCAAAACAGTGTGTTTTCATATGTATTATGTGTGTAGCAAGAAAGAATGCTTATTTGATATTTACTATTTGTATTACTGCTCAATTTCTACATTTTATTTTATTTTTGTGTATTTGTGTGTTTGCTTCAGACAGGGTCTCCCTCTGTTACCCAGGTATAATCAGGTATAATCAGGTACAGTGGTATAATCAGGACTCACTGCAGCCTCCACCTCCCAGGCTCAGGTGATCCTCCCATCTTAGCTGATCCTCCCACCTCAGCCTCCCAAACAGCTGGGACTACAGGTACACACCAACACACCCAACTAATTTTTGTATTTGTTGAAGTGACGGGGTTTCACTGTGTTGCCTAGACTGGTCTCAAGCTCCTGGACTCAAGTGATCTGCCAGCCTCAGTTTCCCAAAGTGCTGGGATTACAGGCATGAGCCACCAAGCCCGGCCTTGAGTTCCACATTTAAAAACTTTGAACTTTATTTTATATATTTTAAAATGTAAAGCAACAGGAAAGTAAGATTTCATGACTGACTTTTATTTAAACAACTTTTTATGGATCCACTTAATTTGAAAATTGAGATTGGCTTTTTAAGCATATAAAAATGACATCTCAAAACCAAAAAAAATTACAAAACAAAGAAAAAAACAGTGACATCTCCTCTTTGGTGCATTCTAGATTTTTTTTATTATGGTAAAATATGCATAATATCAAATTTACTCTCTTAACCATTTAGAAATACACAGTTCAAAAGTGCTCAGTGCATTCACATCAGTCCCAATGTTATTTTTTTATTGCTAATTGTGACTAAACTGTGCTTCCTGCAGTTTGAGAAAGACTGGTTTATATCCTGTGAGTTGGGGAACCACTGAGCCTTTTTTTTGTCCGAGGTCACACAGGTGAGCAAATGGTAGAGTGACAATTCAAACGCAGGCACCTGGCTTTAAGCCCTGTTCCCAACCACCACCAAAACTACCTTCACATATACTTGGTCTGCTATTTCTCAGAATGTGATGCTAAAACTGCCTCCAGCCAAATTACCTAGACCGCCTAATAGAAATTCAGATTCCTGGGTTCCACCCTGGAAGATTGAATCTGCATTTTAAATGAGCCCTAACCCTTTTCCCCTAGGTACGTTTCTCTGCAGAGTGAAAAACTTAGCCGCACTGCTTGGCTGTTCTCTCTGAAGCCCACAGAGCTTTGCTGGATGCTGCACAAGCTGCCAGTGCTGGCTGGAGGCCAGGTTGGCTGACCTTGTAGATCCCAGTGGGATGGCAGAGCCGGGGCGGGTCCCCAGGGCTTTCGAGGGCCAGCGAGGCCCTTCTCGGCATGGACTGGCCATGAGGGAGACGTGCAGGGCAAACCGAAGGAACAGAAGGTGGGACAGTTCCCACTGCCCTTGCCTCGGGGGAAGTCTGTTTCATCCACCATCTGCTGGGATCTGGAAGGGAGCGGCCCGGCCTCCTCCCCGGCACTGGGGGATTAGCAGTCACTTATCTCAGCTGTTCCTCCATTCGGAGGTGTCACAGTATTTACAGAGAAGCCAGAAACAGACAGAGCCACACTTAATTCCTGCCCATGAGCCCTCCCCATTCCCTCCTGTCCCTCCTGCAGTCTGTGTGCCAGGGGGAGGGAGAGCCTGGGTTTAGAGCAGATCGGGGGGAGGATCTAGCCTTCCTAAACATTCCTATTTTCTTTGCCTACACATTTGTTCACCCCCACCGCCCTCTGGCTGGAGCTGGGTTTCAGTTTTCATTAAAAGGAGAAAGTGACGTGATGATGAGGGCTGCAGGCCCCCACGCATCCTGGTGTTCAGAATCCAATATATGAGGCATGGTAATCTTCACAGCATACTTCCCCATGTTTTATATGCAACCACCAAGGGGATTAACCCAGGCAGAGGGTATTTGGCCCCAGATGGATTCTGTTCTTGGCAGGTCCCAGCCGTCACTGTCTTCTAACATGATAGGACCAACTGTAATGAACCATTTAATACGATTCAGAAAAGGAGGACAGGGGAAGGAGGAAGGGGCACGGGGGAGGGAGAACATAGAAGGGAACATAGAAGGGAGATGCTTCTCTGGATCCTGGTGACCACTTTTTTTTTTTTTTTTTTTTTTTTTTTTGGAGACAGTGTTGCTCTGGCCCCCAGGCTGGAGTGCAGTGGTGCAATCTCAGCTCACTGAAAGTTTCAAGTGATTCTCTTGTCTCAGCCTCCTGAGTAACTGGGAATACAGGCACGCACCACCATGCCTGGCTAATTTTTGTATTTTTAGTAGAGATGGGGTCTCACCATGTTGGCCAGGTTGGTCTTGAGCTCTGGCCTCAAGTGATCTGCCCACCTCGGCCTCCCAAAGTGTTGGGATTACGGGCGTGAGCCACCGC